TCAGCAGGTCGTCTTGATTTACGACAAGCTCGAGCAGGCCTGACCACCAGTCGTGGTCGTCAGGCAGATCGAGGGCACTCTGATAGCCGACTGGAGCCTTGGGCATAGCAGCCCAGATGGTTTCCATGTTGAACTCCTCGAAATCGTCTTCGACTACCTAGACCCCCGTCTGTTGCATTATGGCCCCAAAGCAGTGGGTGCCATAATCCTGCACGTCCTTCAAGTACTGCGGGGACTGCTTGAAGGCAGCCACCACTTGGTCGCGGTAGTTCTGCAGGAAGCGTTGACCAGCGGTCGTGTGAAAGACCATTCTCCGCGCCCGAAGGGCAGCGTCGTCGATCAAGGGCTTAGCCCTCTGCTCGAAAGGAATGTTTTCACGTGCCCGAGCTGACTTCTCCTCCTTGAGTGCAGCCTCGAGAGCTTTTTGCGAAGCCAGGAGGGCCTCTTTCTCTGCTCGCTCGGCTGCGAGGGCCTCCTCGAAGGATTTCAGGGCCCCCTCGAGCGTTTCCGGAGAGGACCTTATTCCGGGCGGCCGACTCCTTCAGCCTTTCATGAAGAGCATTACTCTTGACAACCATCTCATCCAACTGATTGTCGAGCTGAAGATTGCCTCGCTCGATCGCTGGGATGGAACGACTCGAGCTAGCTAACGTCTGCTCGATCAGCGATGCAAGCTCGACCATTCCCTACAAGAGCACATAAAAGAAAGTGTTAGGGCACTAACAAGGGGAGGAAGTGGAGTAAAATAGATAAACATTAAATTATAGTAGGTTACCTGTGCCAGCCATCGGGTAATTCGATTGCCCCGATCTCGAAGGGTATCACCGTCATTGTAGCAGTCGGTAGGACGGTCGATGGAAGGAAGAATATCCCGGAGGAAATGCGAGAACCCCATACCGTCAAGTGTAGTGATCAAAAGTGCAGTCTCCTCAAGACGACAACGCTTGCTAGCATTTTCGTCCCCCTCAGCAGAGGGACGCTTAAGTCGATTCTCCTCGAGCAGAGTCTGCTCGGGAGAAGCGGGAATGTGGATGACCGGGGTGGTCTGGTCGTGCAGAGGAGAGTGTGGCGGAGGAGATGCTGGTTTCTCGAGCTGTTCTGGTTGCTCGGGTTGCTGGTGGGCTTGATGGTTGGTCGAAGATGGTTGCTCAACGGTCACTTCTGGAGGAGGTGAAGTCAAGCGGGCGGACTGAGAGGTGGTCGAGTCAGCGGGCTTCGAGCTCGACCCTAGGCACAGAGATAGCGGACATCTCTGCAAAAAATTACGAACAAGTTAAAGCCACAATAGATAAACAATATGTGAAACAAACATGATGATGCTCGAGCCCATTCAGTAACAACACATACCTGGGTCACCCTCGATCCGGATGAGATCGAAAGTTTTTTGGCTAGGGAGAGGACAAGATTTGTGGGTAAGAAGTCCACAGAAATGCAGGAGGTCCTCATCCTCAAGCAAGGTCTTCGACGCAACGGGTTTGCTATTCCATACTGCAATCCGTTGGTCGAAGAGGGCGTTGGTTGAAGGTGTTGAATACTCACATGGGAGTTCTTTAAGCCAAGGCGATGGCGCCCAAGGGAAAGCGGGTTTAGGCTCGACAAAGGCGAATTTGTCTTTCCACTTGGGGACGTTTGAAGGAGTGTCCGAAATAAAATGGACATCGTTGCGGCTTTTGAGATAGAGCTCCTGAGTATGTTTCGAGGGTGTATAGCAATAATGGAAGAAATCTAGGTCGAGCCGACCTAGACGAATGTGGTAGAGAATGATGAAGACAGTGATAAAACAGATGGCATTAGGGGGGAGATGGTTTAAGGGCAGGTCGAACCACTTACAAAGATCGAGTAAATCTTGGCTTAAGGGAAAACGGACGCCGAGTTTAAACTGAATTTCAAAGAAAGTGTAGCAGTTCGGGGGAGGGTTATCATAGGTATCCCGAGGGCCTGGAGATACGAAAGCCCAGCTGGCGGGATAGCCAACTTCATCGGCATCCAGCCAACCAGCTATAAGAGAGCGAGAAGAGGAAGAAGTATTCTTAGAAGAAGAAGAAGGCACTTTGATCGACTTACGCTTCTTCGGGGCAGCCTTGAGCGAGGTAGCGACAGGGACAGCCGGAGATACAAGGGGTGTAGTGGCAGTCGAGGATTTTTGAGCGCCCTTCTTAGGATTAGTAGAAGAAGCGACTCTAGCAAAAACAGAATGGTGAGAAAGGGGAGCATTATCCTTCTCAGCAGCGGCCTCAGCAGCGTCGTGAGCCTCTTCAGCGGCGTCAGAAGCCCCAAACGCCGGTCGACAGCGATTGAGGGGGATGTGGTCGAGGGCATCCTCGTCTGATTCATCAATCAGACGATTAGGTTGGCGAGGAGAAGAAGATGTTGCACAATCGGAAGGGCGTAAGACACTGAGAGGAGTGGGATTGTAGATTTCTTCGACACAGCGGGAAGGCGAGTGAGGGATAGACCGATGAGTGGGGAATGAGGATGCGGCGGTCTCATCTTCACCAGAGTGATGGCTTTGTGCGTCAGAATCGACGGAATCTGAAAAGTGGAAAGGAAAATTGAGAGGGAAAGAAGAAAAGTTAGGGTTTTGGATGGTGAAGAAGGGGTTTTTTTTCCATAGACGAAACGAGAAGGTTTCGGGGAAAGGAAGAAGCAACAGGGAAAAAACCAAAAATCGACAAAATAAACACACGCGAATACAAAATTAAAGCACAGGAAACTTACTCATGGTTGCAGTAGAGAGTGGTTGCCGGAAATTGCTTGAAGAAAAGGCGCCGAGAGCAGGAAAGAACAGTTTGGAGGAAGAAATCAGGGCACAAGGGAGTTCGAGATTTGCAAAGGTGAGAAAAGTCAAAAAATTTACTAAGTACTATATTTATAAGAGGGCAGAGGAATAAGGTGAAGAGTTAATGGAGATAGCCGTTAGATAAAAGGAGATCCAATGGTGGGAAGAAATTAAAGAGGCACAGATAGCGAAGCGGCACAAATCGCGAGGAGGCATGATTATTAAAGGTACTGAGCGGAAAGGACATATGGCAGGCGGAAATCACGTTAATAGTAAAAGGAAATAAATGACAGTTAAAAGTGCACCATAAAACCGATCGCGTGGTCGAAGAATGGTGGTGGCATCAACCGAAACGATCGAGAGAGGAGGTCAGATGTAAGCAGGAGATCGAGAGGTTGGCAGAACGGAGAAGACAACTCGAATTCACTCTTAGATCGAGTCATTTAGACTCGACCAGAGTGGGGGGGACTAGATGATATGTGATATTATATAGCTAAAGAATAGACCGGTTTACCACATTGGTCGAGCAAGCTCGAGGTAGAGAAAACTGTATTGGTCGAGGGATGATCGACCAAAAGGGAAAAGATCGAGCAGAATAGCAGAACTGGTCGAGGATCGACCTAACGACGGGAGACTCGGTCAGATCGAGCACTCAACAAGTGAAGAGCAGTCGAGAGCGTGGCTTGAACGCGAGAAAGCGCGTGGGTGGCGTTAGAAGATCCTAACGGGATGCGCAGAAAATAATCTCCCTCTGCTCAGAGGGACACGTGGCGAGAGTACATTGGTGCAGAGCAATAGTGGTGATAACCACCTCTGACGCCTCTGACACACGCATACTGTGTGTCTACAGACGGGCAGTACGGGCAGGACAGCTCTCCAGATCCAGACAGCTCCTAGGGCAGGTACCACACTCCTATATATATAGGAGTGAGCCTTTTCTTGTGACTTACGATTTATCCATTACATACTTTGGAGAATTGAGTAGAATATAAACTGACTTAAGCATCGGAGGCTCTTCACCGGAAAACCCCTCCGGTGTGAGAGTTATGTGCAGGTGCGCGGCGTTCTACCAGCGAAGAGGAGGAAGACGAGCCGATTTCAAGCCGGTCGGAGTGTTTTGCGTTACCAAAGTTGTTAAATGATATTATTTTAAAAAAATATTTAATAAAAGATGGTAAGCCATAAAAGTGATGAGTGTTATTCTAAATATAAATAGTATAGTTATTTAAAAAAGAATTTGAAAATTAAAATATTATTTTATAGTGATTTTTAATTTTTAAATATAAATTTCTTAACCAACACCCGTATTGTTGTAGTCATGAATATATTGACAATTAGTAATCAACTCTTGCATTTGCACAGAGGCGAAATCTTAAAAAATAAAGTAAAAGAAAAACAAAAATACAAAATCATAATTTAATTCAATAAAAACTATAAATTTAGAAAAGAATTTTAATTATTATTAAAAACTTCTTTATATAAAACATTCATGGTTCTCCCATCGTCATAATCCCCATCATCACATATCACTATCTTCAAACCCCTCATATTCGTGATTCTGGAAAGAGCCACGTACAACTGTCCATGACTCAAAACAGAGTTCTTCAGTACTAAGCGACGTGTGACAAACATTGGTCTTGACTTTTATTTATTGTCATAGCATAAGAAACCATGATAAGAAATTGTTTGCGCTGAAACTTGAAGGGTATCCTCAAATAAGAAGGAATAACTATGAGCCTTGGAATAAGAACCTTATCAACGGGTCTGTCACCAGATAAAATTATGCATTCGAGGACATAGCTGTTGAGCTTAGTAATAACCAAACGTGTAACGTTGTACAAACCCATTAGATGATCAATGTTCCTGAGTAGTATCACTGGAGTGCCGACCTTCAAGTGCAATTTATGACTTGGAAGTCCCGAACACTTAATGTCATTCAAAAATTCAGGCGTATGAAGATCTTGAAGAGAATCATATCCAACATCAGACTTGCAAAAGTGTTCGAACTCAAGTAAGTCCTTCTCTTAGAGGAGTTCAATGAACTCATATACTCATTAACGGACTCAATGACATCAAGTGTGGAAGCGAGTACCACTCAGTCCACCTAAACTTCTGAACATTGGGTAGGTACTCTCAACAATAGTGGCAATAGGATCCCCTTGTGATTTCAAAATAATATCATCGAGAATGTCGATATCGGCACAACCGTCGTTCGATCCACCGAATATTTCATCTCCAATGCTTGCAACCCACTTCGAGAAGTGTTTCAGTTCATCGTACTCATAACCCCCACCAAGGCTTAGCCTCATATTCCAATTCGTTCTCAGAATGGTATAATCTCGCCACAACTTGAATGAATTGATCGTCGCATTTACTATGTCACTTCGACTGTCTTTAGGGGTAAAGGAAAGTATTTGTCTAAAATCAATAGACGGGAGATTTTTCCTTGATGGATCCACTACTTTCATTAAGGCTCGTAAGATGTTATCAATTCGGTGTCGTTTTGAACTTTTTTGTGTCGTTCACCACCTTGTACCAAGTTATCTCGTAAATACAATTTTCCCTGAGATGAAGTTCGTTTAAATTTTCAAACAAATTTCCTGATGTGGTTGCATGAAACGAATTAAAATGTAAAAACAAAAAAAAGTAATTACTGATAAAGATTGGTTGTTCTTATTTATATATGTACAAAAAAATTTGGTTGAATATTTCATTACCTCAAAATCATGGAAAACAAACTCTAATGTGGCAACCTTTGAAGGATTTTCACGTGAGTCTTCGTATAAAAATGGACCAGCCTCATCTCTTTAATATTATCTTTGTTCTTGTCAAAGAAGCACAATTTTTCGAATATATTTGGGCCATTTTCAGTTTCAAAAAAAGAAATGCTTTTAGAAAATGAAAGTAGAGGTTATGATTATTTTTCTTTAGAAAATGGATAGTAAGAATGAATGACTGGACAACTATATCTGATAAGGAAAAACGTAATGACGTTAATAAAAAAAATTACGTACATAATTTATATAGTTATATATTGTAATTAAAAATTAGTGTAATCTGACGTGACATATTTGGCAAATTTTTTAACGTGGAAATTTTAAATATGGAATAAAAGCAATAGTAAATATTTTGGATTTAAATAAATGTGAAATATGTTTATTGACATGTTTTCCATCTCAATAATCAACCTGGTCAGAATGGCAAGTGCTTATAATAAGAAATAAATTTATATGTCTTATTCTTTCTTTATTAATTGTCTATATAATTAATAAAAATTCTATAGAGCAATCAGATGATTTTTTTTATGGAGCCATCCACCACTTAATGTATTGACACGTGTCTAAAGTGTATTTATTGCAGGACACGTGTCAATACTCTATTGGTGAATAAGTGTGGATGGCTCCATACACTATTAGTGAATAAGTGCAGGACACGTGTCAATACACTATTTGTGTTTTTTTTTTTTTTTGCAGGTGG